CTCAGCTGTGGATTCTCAGTGTTTCAGTGGAAATATTTCAGTGAAAATGTTTCAGTGGAAACTTGGAATCTACATAAACCTTGTGGAAGTTACAATAAATAGTGTTTACGATCCGTTCGTCTTTCTCAAGAAGCTACAACAACAACAAGTCATCGAAGCTTTACAAGGTAAGTGAGTGAGAGAAATGTCGTATTTCTGACAATTCTGAAACTTTTTCTCTTTTCAAAATAGTCTCCGAAGCTTAGTTTTTCACTTATAAAACAAATAGGTAATGAGTAAATGAGAGTGAGAATGAATGAAAGAGAAAGGGAAGAAAGGAGAGGGGGGAAGAGGGAGAGAGAGAGGGAGGGAGAGAGGGAGAGAGGGAGAGAGAGGGAGAGAGAGGGAGAGAGGGGGGGGGAGAGAGAGAGAGAGAGATGCGTCGCGTGTATGTATGTGCAGCGATCAGCTGAGTGCCCCGTGTAAGCGCTCGCGGCGAGACGTGCCGTGCGCCGCCCCTGCCTGCCTGTTGTACTCGGCCCGTCATTCGTCAACTATTTCTTTTAATAATTCAAAAACTAAGCTTCGGAAAAAACTTTGGTAAGAGAAAAATCGTCTTAGAATTTAATCAGGAATTCGACATTTTAGGGACACTATACCTATTCTGAATCACCCTGTATGTCCGATAGTAACGACGCGCAGTACAGGGTGGGATAATACGGTATATGATTCACAGCAATATAATGGCCACCACCTTGCCAGGTCCTAAAAATATGGCGTTTAAGTTTCAATTTGATTTATATCAGAAAAGGATCCAGAAAATATTAATTGTAACTTATTCAAGGTCCTAATACTTTGCGCGAGACGCTACGTGAGATACGCGACAGCAACGTCAATGCCACGTTGCGGCAGAAAAGTGAAAAGGACGCTGGTCTGGTCGACGACGAGGACGAGGACAACGACGACAAAGATGTTTCTTAATCCAAAATTTTACAAAACTGACTTTGCATTGCAATTGCATTGCAATACCTCCACTCCTGGGGCACATAGGAGAAAAGTAAAAACACTTATATTATGCAAATCGTACCCAAGCTATCGATTAAGCGCAGTCTCAAGTTCGTCGGATCAGCCGTTGTTGAGATCCAAAAATCTGAGGGCCCGTGAACTCGTGTACTCGCGTAAACTTACACAGTCGGTCTCGCACGCGTGTACTAGCTACGCTTACACTTGGCGCGAGACCTACCGTGTCTCGTGATAAAGGCTTCACTTTGTCACATGCAAGTTTGACTAATCAGCTCTCGTTATCTACTCATCGCATTCCCACAACAGATATTATAGAGTGTTTCGATGGTTCTGATTTAATATTGTTAGTATGTTCTTTGAGTCTTGTCTGCAATTTCCTTTTTGTCTATCCTACGTAAGAGGCATCACAGTCTGCGCATGGAATTTTATATACGACATTAGTGGTATTCAATTTATTTATTTTGTCTTTCAGTGTACCAATGAATCTGGTCAATTTATTTATATATCTGAACCCTAATATAAATTTAGATTTGTCAATTAATGGTTAAATCAGTTTTTGGTTGAATTGAGGAAGGGGAGAACTAAAAATATTTTCTTTGGTCTCTTCGGGTTTATCATTGTTATCAATTGTTCGATTATGTCTATTTTGTAAAATATGTATTCTATTATTAATTTTGCTGAAAATGAGACGAAGAGGGTAAGCATTGTCTAGTAGCATGTTAATACAGAGATTAAGATTTTTCGCATGAAAGGTTGGATGTGATAACAATAATGTTCGATGTACTAAATTGTATAAAGTGCTTATTTTGTGGTTCATAGGATGGTTGAAATAAAACGATAATGTGCCAGAAAATGTTTCTTTATGGAATTAATCTATTAAATGTCTAGAGGAAATCTTATAAGTCGCCAGAAGTAATTAAAAACTTCAGAGGATTACTTGACCAGTAGGGTGACATCCAATGAGAGCTAAGCACACTTTACCTCGTATACCCCTCTCGCAATGACTTCCCCGCGAGCTAACGCTCCATCTCTGGATTCCTATATCTGTGCATACTTACAACAAAGTCATTTGACATCTACTCAAAAACACTGACAACCGTTATATCCACTTATCTCAGTAATGTTTTTTTAACTTCTAACTAATCTTGTTCGTTTCACTTGATCTACAATGTATTATCTATCGACAATTATGTACTAGATTATTTTTATTATTTAATTTATTATAAATTGGCGCTGATGTGAAAGCACTGTGTGCTGAAACATGTCCGCTATTTTATATTTTATACAATTGTAACAACATTTATTTAAATATATATTATAATGTCAACCTTTATGTTCGTAAAAATTGGCTTGTTTAGATAAGTGGATGTAGAAGCCATAAAGAGGCCATAAAGAAGAAGGATAAAGAAGCTGTTCTGTCAGCGTGAACAGATTAAGGTCCACACTGCGTTTACGCTTCACAATAGTTTATTGTCCTTCATAATCTCTCACATGTACAGTTCACAATTTCTCATACACAGTGTACGCAATTATTCTCGACCGCAATGTTCTGCGACTACGCCTGGGAGCCCGTGTGTCCTGAGTCGCTAGTCACCAACTGCTCCTGGGGGTGTGTACACCCTGAGTCGGTTATCGGCGAACACGCCACACACATCGACAACGCCTGAGAGTACGTCTACTCTGAGTCGCTTCACCACACGAAGTCTATATCTCACTGACTCGGATCGATGCGCGAAGACTGATCTCGACAAAGCTCGGATTTCGAATGAATGCTCGTCCCATGGACGAGGTCCCTTTTATACCCGTCAATCCTTCTTTCCCCAATTTTCATTGGTCGGATCCGAATCAAACAGTCCGCCGACCCCGGTCGCGACGGATGTTACCGTTTTTCGCGATTCCGCTGAATCAAAGCGTCGCGCCGCCAAGACCGCTCCGTCGACATCGATGTCGCTGCTAGACGACTCTACTCGTATCAATCATGCCGCCGCGCGACTGAAGCCGCCGCGACTCTACTGACGGCCCTAACGGACCCTCCTCGACAATTACCGCGGTTTCCCTCAAAGTATCGATTGATCTTTGAAGCGATCCGACCAGTCTACCTGCGTGGTGAAGTGTACGTGATCGTGTTCATATTTTATTGTCATGTTTGACTATCGTGCACGATGATGTACGCAACATACTCCTCCCGTTGAGAGGGGGTTGAGAGTACCGATCAATTATTGCATAGATCCATGTTTACAATGTATGTGGTGTGGTATATCCACATGTTTTGGCCGGCCTATATATTGTAATATAATTATATGTATATGTTTCATTATGGTTTGGGGATTCGAATTATGTTTCTATCGGGATAGGGCAAATGTTCTTGGTTGCTCGTCTAATCTCTCCGTTTGTCGTCTTGAGATCCGCAGTCCGCGCTACTCCATCTTCGCCGGGGTATAGTTTAGTGATCCTGCCTAAAGCCCATTGCGTGCAAGGTAGATTTCGTTCTTTGATGAGCACAATGCTGCCGATTGTCAGGTTGGGCGTATCCTTGGTCCATTTGGCGCGTTTTTGGAGTTCGTTTAGATATTCCAGATGCCAGCGCGCCCAGAAGTCTTGTCGTACCTTGCTTATGTGTTGCCAGGTCGACAATCGATTTGCTGGAACAGATAGCAATTCGCCCTCGGGAGGGGCCGTCAATGGTCTGCCGATTAAGTAGTGAGCGGGCGTGAGTACATGCAAGTCGTTCGGATCGGAGGAGAGGGACGTCAAGGGTCTGGAGTTTAAAATGCCCTCTATTTCAACGGTAAATGTGTTTAATTCTTCGAATGTAAACAAAGAATCGCCCACCACGCGCCTGAAGTGATGTTTAAAGAGCTTAACCGTAGACTCCCAAAGCCCGCCGAAATGAGGAGCGCTAGGCGGTATGAAGTGCCACGTGATATGATGATTATTTGAATATCGGTTAATGAGCTCTATGTGTTCACTGGAATTGAACAAGACGTATAATTCCTTCAATTTATTGTTCGCTCCTACGAAGTTGGTCCCGTTGTTGGAATAGATGTTTTTCGGTAGGCCGCGTCGCGCGACGAATCGTCGTAATGCTGCTATGAAGCCTTCGGAACTTAAATCGCTTACGACTTCCATATGCACAGCCTTTATAGTCATGCATACGAATACGCATACGTAAACCTTGACTCTCGTACGGTTTCGATGTTTTCTCTCTTTCATATAAAAGGGACCGCAGAAATCGATACTGGTATTTGTGATGGGTATTGTCTCGCATACGCGAGGCGAAGGTAGATTTCCCATCTTGTACTCGACCGTCTGAGAATCGAAGCGTAAGCAACGCACGCATGTACGCACAATTTTTCGAACTTGATTTTTGCCGTCGAGCAGCCAGTATTTCCGCCTAAGTATATATAGCGTATTTTGTATCCCGGTGTGATAATGACGTTCGTGGGTTTCGCGGATGATCTGATCGGTGACGTAAGTCCGGCTAGGGAGTAATATTGGATGTTTTTGTGAAAATGTCAAATTTGAGGATTGGAGACGCCCTCCGACGCGTAGTACGCCGTCTTGGTCAATGAATGGGCTTAAATTGCTTAATTTGCCCCGATACGGATGCTTATCCTTTAGTTTCTTAAGTTCATCGGAGAAATGAGATGTTTGTAACTCCGCTTTATCTATTTCCTTAGGACGCAACGGTCCTCGGTATGTGTTATTCGGCCGAAAGCGAAGACAATGAGCTATAACTCGACATAGTTTATAATAGGATGAATATTTTTCTAATATACTGTGATCAATAACGGTCGCGACTAAGCATATATTTTGTTTTAATTCTGGTAATTCGATGGTCTGTAGGATTTGTTTAGGCCAATCGTTATCGTTTTTTGTCAACCACGCGGGACCCGAATGCCATAATTTGTTTTTTAAGAAGGCATGTGGTAACTGACCTCTCGAAACCGCATCCGCAGTCTTCGATTGTCTTCGGATCGTATATGGCGCCACGCGTGTTACTCGGTGATTTCGCGTATCTCTACTACACGGTTTGCGACGTAAGTTTTAAGCCGATGTGGGGATGTGTTCAACCAATGTAGTACGATGGTTGAATCACACCAAAAAATCACCTTGGCCGGTACAGCGTTTAATGCGGCGCACGATTCGCGGTACAGGCGTGCCAATAATAGTGCTCCGCACAACTCGAGTCGCGGAATGGTGACGGTTTTTATTGGCGAAACGCGAGATTTGGCGCATAATATTTTACAAATGCTTTCATTGTTTTTATTGACTGAGCACACATAAAGGCATGCTCCGTAACCAGTGTAACTGGCATCGCAGAACCCGTGTAATTGAAAACTATGACACCCTTCTATGAATAGTTTACGGTCAAAGGAAATTTCGTTCATGGACTCAAATTGTTGTGCAAACTCGGACCATTTAAAATGAACGTTCTGTGGAACGGATTCGTCCCAATGCACCTGAACTCGCCGTAGATCTTGTATTAGCTGTTTTGCGTATAAGATCACGGGACCTAATAGGCCTAGAGGATCGTAAATTTCTGCAATCTTGGACAAGATTTTTCGTTTTGCTATTATTCCTGATAACCTAATCGGTCGTGCGAAATAATATAATTTGTCGTCGTGAGTGTTCCACGAAATACCGAGCGTTTTTAAAGACTGATCTTCACCGAGCACATAATTCGCGTGTAGAGTATTGTTTGGTAAATCTTGGATTATGCGTGTGTCGTTCGAGGCCCATTGCCTTATAGAGAACCCTCCGCGCCTTAGAAGTGCGATTATTTCGTCCCGGACGTAACGAACCTCCTTAACCGAGTTAGCGCCCGTCAATAGATCGTCGACATATAGATGACGCTTAAGTACTTCAGCCGCCTTCGGATGTAAATGACCGTCGTCATCCGCGAGCTGTTGCAACGTGCGGATCGCGAGAAATGGCGACGACGATACTCCGAAGGTAAGCGTGTTCAACTGATAGGTTCTGATTTCGCCGCGTTCTCGCCAAAGAATCAGTTGAAATCTACGATCATCCTCGTGTACCTGCACCTGCCGATACATTTTCTCTATGTCACCGGTAATAACGTAATGGTAGGTGCGGAATCTTATTAAATGGGAAAACAATTTTTCTTGAATCGTGGGTCCCACCATCAAGAGATCATTTACAGATACGCCGTTCGCAGATTTTGCCGACGCATCGAACACAATTCGTACTTTAGTTGTATTACTGGCCTGTTTTATTACCGCGTGATGAGGCATGTAAAACCCGTCGAGAGGCGGACGAGTTACTAGCGACATGTGCCCTAAGGTCTTGTATTCTTCTATAACGCGGGTGTATTCTAAGTTCAGCGTAGTGTCTTGTTCGAGTTTGCGCTCTAGCGCGAGCAAACGTTTGATCGCGATATTTCGCGAATCGCCCGTCTTAGCATCCGCATAACGGAATGGTAAACGCACCATGTATCGTCCTTCGCTATTGCGGGTTACATTCTTAATGAAGTGCGCTTCACAATTGTTCTCCTCTTCTGATTTAATTTTGTCAATTACGCTTTCTTCTATTGTCCAAAATTTGGCCAATTGTGATTCTAAGCTCGTTAAGCAACATGATGCTTCTTTGATAATATTTTGCTTCGCGGAGCTACCAGCAATGACCCAGCCTAATCGGGTCTTTTGTAAATATAAATCGTGTCCGTCATTAGACAGATTGATTTGACCGACGGAGAACAACGAAAATGTAATCCCAGCGCCGATTAATATGTCTATAGGCCGCGGCAAATGGAATTCTGGATCCGCTAGTTTAACGTTTGTCGGAAACTTGATCGTGTCTCGCGGAAATGTCTCGGAAGGAACTAAATCCGCGATAGTCGGCAATGTGAGACACGTTAGTTTCCTGGAAAAGCTATTTTGTGTCGATTGAATTGTGATTTGCACTGTACCTTGGGAAATCGAACTCATAGCATTAATCGCGCCGACCGGAATCGACTGCGGTATCGAACGCACGCCTAATCGTTTAACGACGGAATCGGAAATAAAATTTCGCGCATGTGTCTAATAGGGCGCGACATCTTACGAATTTGCGTTTGCCGTCGGGAACGTACACTATTGCGCTCGCTAATAGTTGCGGTGTGAATGTGGGACACATTAACGCAAGACCCTCATTAGTCCCCTCGGTCACATCAAATAGTCAATTGGTTTCAGTTGATTCTGGCCGTGATTTGTCATTGGATTTGTCTGCGGTCGCGATACCATCTAAATGTAAGAGCGTGTTATGTCGTTTCTGGCAAATTGTGCAACTCGAGAATTTGCATGGTACCGATATGGGAACGCAAGCAATTGTAACACAATTTCGCCCTTTTTACCGCCTCGATCCGCTTGTGAATTGGCAACTGCTTGAATTTATCGCACATGTATAGCGGATGTTGTTTCACGTTACACACCTTGTAATTCCGCGACGCGCTTAATACGAATGCTCGATTAGACACGTTTCGTTTCCTTTTTGTCGGAGGCTCGATCTTATTTGTTTCGGTTTCTGTTTGTTTCGCTCGCTCTCGCTTCGATGCACAGACTGCGGTCTTGTACAAAAATTCGTAGAGAGTATCGAGAGAGGGGAATTTGTCTCTCTCGAGCGAAGCTTCCCATTTCTCGATCGTTTTCTTTGGCAATTTAGTCTCGAGAATGTGAACGATTATTTCATGCCCGACGGAGACGCCCAACGCATTGAGTGAGGCTACAAGCTGTTGTGTATCGTCAGCAAGTTTAGATAACCCATCCGTGGATTCTCTATCCAGTGACGGCAGATTTAGAATGGCCGCTAAATGACGCGAGATCAATATGCGTTTCACCTCATATGCGCGTTCTAAGACCTCCCAAGCCTTCGTATAGTTTATGCCATCTATCGCGAAGATTTTTATTTTATTATCGGCCCCGCCCTTCAATGCGGATTTCAAATAGTAAAGCTTATCTACGTCCGTTAAGTCTGATTGTGTGTCTATGAGGTTACAAAACGCGTTTTTAAAGGAAAGTCAACCGTCATATTGGCCGTCGAAAGTAGACAATGGAGCTTGAGGCAACTTAATTCGCCGTTTTTTATCAGCTACAGAAGGCGTCGCGTGATTCGCTCGAATTTCGTCATTTGACACGTTGACGCTTAGACTGGAAGAGCTCGCGCGATTGAAATGATTCTCGATCTTACCCGCGAGGTCGTAAAAACGTTCTTGTAAGCTATGAAACTCGTCCTGAACACTTTCGCCCGGCTCTAAGACCCCGAGCTCATCGTTATCCCCCTCAAACGCATGGTAGAGATCCGTTAGACGTGCGATACGCAATTTTAATGTTGCGTCATCCAATTAATTTTTCTCGAAGAGATTCGTCAGAATGGTGATTGAGATTTCAACGATGTTCGTTTTTGCACGAGTATTTTAGCTCGGTCGGGCATGTTGCTAACGTAAAGTATGGAGATAAAGGTGTAAAGACAGGATTGAACGACTCACCGCCCTTTTATGACAGATGCTTGTATGTCTCTCTTGTTGTTGGACGAGTTGTCCCTCCGTCCCTCTGATATGAATTCCTTATTCTTGCGAGAATCTGGACGATGGCTCGTACTTCGCGGACCAGGGGCCGCGTGCACGAACCTCACAGGAGGCACCAAAATGTTCTGTCAGCGTGAACAGATTAAGGTCCACACTGCGTTTACGCTTCACAATAGTTTATTATCCTTCATAATCTCTCACATGTACAGTTCACAATTTCTGATACACAGTGTACGCAATTATTCTCGACCGCAATGTTCTGCGACTACGCCTGGGAGCCCGTGTGCCCTGAGTCGCTAGTCACCAACTGCTCCTGGGGGTGTGTACACCCTGAGTCGGTTATCGGCGAACACGCCACGCACATCGACAACGCCTGAGAGTACGTCTACTCTGAGTCGCTTCACCACACGAAGTCTATATCTCACTGACTCGGATCGATGCGCGAAGACTGATCTCGACAAAGCTCGGATTTCAAATGAATGCTCGTCCCATGGACGAGGTCCCTTTTATACCCGTCAATCCTTCTTTCCCCAATTTTCATTGGTCAGATCCGAATCAAACAGTCCGCCGATCCCGGTCGCGACGGATGTTACCGTTTTTCGCGATTCCGCTGAATCAAAGCGTCGCGCCGCCAAGACCGCGCCGTCGACATCGATGTCGCTGCTAGACGACTCTACTCGTATCAATCATGCCGCTGCGCGACTGAAGCCGCCGCGGATCAATCATGCCGCCGCGCCACTGAAGCCGCCGCGACTTTACTGACGGCCCTAACGGACCCTCCTCGACAATTACCGCGGTTTCCCTCAAAGTATCGATTGATCTTTGAAGCGATCCGACCAGTCTACCTACGTGGTGAAGTGTACGTGATCGTGTTCATATTTTATTGTCATGTTTGACTATCGTGCACGATGATGTACGCAACAGAAGCCATAAAGCAAAAATCGCTGGAAGCACTGATGGCCATACCAAAAAACGAGTTTCAAAAGTGTTTTGGAAGTTGGAAGTAGTGTTGGCATAGGTGCATCACAGCCGACGGAGATTACTTCAAAGGCGCCCGCATGAATTTTGACGAGTAAGTATGTACATTCAATTTTATTAATAAAGTCTCGAAAATTATTGATCAAGGTGGTACATGCAAGGTGATCGGCAAATAATAACGGCGATATTTTAGATGGTTTGTAACGTGACAACAAAGAGCAACGTTGCTCCCCACCCTGCGCTCTTCCCCTGTCTCGTTTCTAACCCCCGCGCCCACGAACTGACGGTATAAAAGAGCCCGAGCGAGCCGAGAGAATCAGAATCCTCCGACCAGCGAACTGAGCAGGTCGTCTCCCCGGAGAAGGCGTACTGAGCCGGACCCGGTAACCCCGATCCGCGCACTGAGCGGAATCACTCACCTAACCTAGCACGGCACGAACTGAGTGCCCATCCCAGGCCGCGTATTGACCGACCGCTTCCTCTCTTCCGAGGCACGAGTTGAGTGCCGACTCCACCACGGGTAGATGCGTGATGAGCACTACCCGATAAAAGAACCCGCGAGCTGAGCGGCACCGGCAACACACCGACCTAACCCCCGTTCCATACACACGCGCCGCGAGCTGTCACCGGCAGCCGCGACACGCGCCGCGACCGCCGAACCGCGCCTGCGCTAACCGTGCGACCGAACCGAGCGTACCGCGCCCGCGCCGCCGAACATCGATACCGAACGGATCGCGCTCACGCCGCCGAAACCGAACACACCCGAACACCGGTCCGCGAATCGTATAACTGTAAATCCTCAGCAGCGCAACGCACCAGCACACGAATACGAAGATCGCCGCCGAAGCGGCCTTAGATTATAAGCGATTAGTATTAAGTATTAGTATTAAGTATTGCGAGCGATAATATTAAGGATTAGCTGTAAGCACGTCGAAATAGAATAAACTAGTCTTTTACTGAAATTATAAGTCTCATCCTTCACTCTTCGACCAGCCCACCGACCGAACCTTGGAATCTCCAGGCTATCCGTAGCCCAAAAATTCCAACGTTACAGGTTTAGTGAGCCGGAATTACTTGCGGATTCATACTTATAAATATATATTATCACTCCACTCTACAGCTCAACACACTAACAGTAACAAATCTGGGTAATAGTCACAATTCAATTTGTGCATCACGAAGGTTTGTTTTTTTTTCCGGAAGTTGACACGTTGTGTTTCGAGCAAGGATATTATGGTTCCATTAGCGAGAGGTGTGTCACAGTCGTAGCCCATGAGCGCATATTTCTGCATTATCAGTAGGAGAGTTATCACGAGAGAAATGGCATCCATCTACAACGTAATGACTCATCCTGGCTCGCTCGAATAGGCCAATTTAAACAGATTTACATGCATGATTTTTGCAGTATTTCGTATTTTAATGCGCAGGTTTTCCTGATCTAGTTCTTTGAATAATTCGGTACGGTCCGACGTATTCTCGATCGAGGTTATAGGTTTCGGCGCACGATCGCAAATAAATAAAATATCCAGTGTTAAAAATTTCTGGGTGGGTGCGTTTATCGTAATACCGTTTGGACGATTCCTTAGCTTTTATCATATTTGTTCTGGTGCAAATTTCTAGCTCTCGTATCCGCTCGAATAATTTCGATAGGATGTCGTTATGTCTCGGGCTCGTTGTCAGTTTTAAATTGAGACGGAATGCGTGCGGTAAGTCCAAAAATTAATTTGTGAGGTGAATATCCTGTTCTCTCATGGACGGCTGTGTTACGTCAAAACCTCTCGGAAATGTGGAGGTATGGAATGACGCAACTAGCAAGTTTAAGTATCTCGCTAACACGCTCGGAGGCGCGTGGAAGCGAGCCGAACGCACTTTTCTAAGGCTCTAAAAAGGCCAATGTCCGAGAGGACACTATGACTCTTTTCAAGAGCGGTGCGATCGCAGGTCCTATTTCAGGTCAAGGAAATTAATCCCTATTACCCTGGGACGGACCTTGTGCACTCTCAAAGGGGGAACGAAGGGGGGTGAGGTCTTTAGAAATGAATTAAAATAGAAAGAGATAAGTTTAACATAATATATTTACGATTTTTCTACATCTAGACATTAGATTAGGATTAAAAGAAATAAAATAAATTAAAGCCTAATTTTTACTAACTAATAAGAAAGATCAATAGTGTTACATTTATGTGTGTTAACGCTATATACATTTTTCGCGGATGTGGGTGTGTGTGTATTTGTGTGAGGGAGGGATTTATTAATGGTCTTTAATGATGGCGGAGGAGGGAGGGAAAAGGCGCTGGAGGAACAGGATGGAGACGGGCCTGGGATATCTCTCCCCGGGAAGATAGACCGGGATGACTCGGTTAGGAGGATTGGAGTGAACTCTGTCAAGGAGTTCAGGGATGTCCAGTAACTCAGGGCCTACGGTGAAGGTCCCTGGGGGAGGACGGG